TTTTTAGTCTTCCATAATTTTTAATTTATTGAAGTAAACCAAACAAGAATTCACTATACTGGAAAAACATGGTGAACTGATCCTATTGATGATGTCATTAATTTCTTGCATTTTTCTCTTTAATCAGGATATGAAATAAAGTTGATAAATTTCATACTAAAATTTCTAAATCAGCTATATCCCATTAAAACATGGTTTCTGCATTTATTTTTCTAAGAATTTGAACAAAATATCATAACTTTGAGTAGCGAATCATTCATCAGTGAATACCAAAGGGACTTGGTATTTTCAGCAAATGTCACTTCTTGGGTCTAACTGAAGGAAGAGTTACTTATGTTGAACTTGTTTACCACGGAAGTACAGAGCATCTATGTCAAATACTACATCTATACTATGTTGTCATTGTTATCAAAGTAAAATAAAAGGTTATTCATCAAATCTATGCAGTCAAAAGTATTAAGGGGCTGGTTAGCTCAGTCAGTTAGAGCTTGGTGCTGATACCACCAAGGTCAAGCGTTTGATCCCCGTTTGGTCCCCATGTGTTGCCTGATCTAATTGAGAGGCGTCCCTGCCCATGACAGGGAGGTTGGATTAAATGATCTCTAAGGTACCTTCCAGCCTAGGCCTAGGCCTATGATTTGTCTTGCACTTTTTGAAATTTAAGGCTTAGGTCTTCAGAATTCCTTTTATTGGCTTGATTTGTCAAACTCATCAGATATGGATGTTCAGGAAAAAGCATGGCTCTTGCTTTTCACACAAGATGCTGAATACAAGAAATTATAAACTAGAGGTATGTCAAATACATAAGCAGCATCAATGATTAAGGAAACATTACAGTTCAAGACTGAATTCTTCCTAAAAGTTATTAGACAGTTGGTAGAGCTTCTTATCTAATTCACTCTAGACAGACCTATGAAAGATGTCACTTGTGTTTAATTTCATGAGTGCAGTTGCTACCTCAGTATCTTCATTTAAATTGACCTGGTTAGGTAATTGGTTATCAATTCACACTGAACACGGTTTTTTTTCCAAATTCACAAAAAGATAAATATAGTATTATACCTATTGCAGGCAAGTGTTATGAAAAAAATAATACATTTTTTTGCCATTCTTGAACCATGGATCTCTTTCTTGAAACATCTCTCAGGTTGTAACTAACAATATTTCCTTATACCAACTCAGGTTTTCCTCTGTTCATCTTATAGCTACTTTTAGTCTTACCTAAAACACATTCCATCTTTCCTTTGAGTAGAGCAGTTGGGATCACTGTTTTGCTGATTTACCTTCTCCTCTTTAATAATGTGGATGAGACAGGAGCACCCATTCTGTCAAATGCGCCCAATAAAATAAAGAAAATAAAAAGATGAGTACTGCTGGGGTACAATATTGTGCTGAACTATAACAGGACAGCTAAATAGTAAATTGAAAAAAAAAGAAACAATTAACCGATCCACCTCACTTCATGTTGCAAATGTTGTCTTATATACACATTAACACCAGTCATTGGCCTTGTTCGGAGGAATGGCCAGCTTTTCCTGTTAGCAAGCCTTAACACTTGCAATATGCTTTTACTGTAACTTGGTTACTATGGTGATGAGGGAAAGCAATAAATGCACAAAAGATTCTTTGAATGTCATCTGAAGCTAAAGAGAAGTAGTGAATATTATGTCCTAAAAGATACAACAAATTAATTTTGTCTTATTCAAACAACTATTTCCAATGAATCAATTGACAAAAGAAAACTGGTTTTTGACCCCTTTTTCTGCTAATAGGATTTTCTTATGCAGTGTTTGTTGCATCAGCTGTTCTGGTATATAATAATAGACAGAGTGTGATATTTGGATCTCTTCCTAAATATTGTTCCACGTACTTACAGTTCCTCTATATATTTGGTGCGTTGGTAAAAGAATTTTTAGAGGCTTGCATACTAATCTGTTAATTGGTTTACTATGAATTAGACATGTTTACATTGCAGTTTACAATTGAGTTAAAAGTATTTTGTTACCATTTCAAAAGTATAAATCTTTTCATAAAGTATAATTTATTATTTTATGAATTTTTAACTCAAGTGACTAACAACATTTTGATTCAAAACATACTACTACTTCAGAATAGATTTATTATGAAGTAAATACTATTGCTACAGTAAATTCTTGAAAAATGCATCTGACGTAATCTGTAAGTATGTGTAGGGATGTAGTTTCAATCAAAGTATGAAGGTACAAGATATGTAAAAATCATATTAGTTACGTAATTTTACAGAAATAAATGGAGGTAAATCCTTAGCTGCTATAATTCTGCTGTATCTTTGACACTGCGTAATTAAAAAATAGTTAATTGTCCAAAATACTTAGGCAGCTCACAAATGTTGAGGTATCCAGGCTGAACATGAGCCAGCAGTGTGACCAGGTCACCAAGAAGGCCAACAGTACCCTGGCCATCAGGAATGGTGTCGTTGGCATGAGCAGGGAGGTGATCGTTCCCCTGTACTCAGCTTTGGTGAGGCCTCACCTCAAGTACTATCTCCAGTTTTGGGTCCCTCACTACAAGAGGTGCTAGAGAGGGTACAGAGGTGGGCTACCAAGCTGGTAAAGGATTTGGAGCATGTGTCGTACAAGGAATGGCAAGGAATGGCTGAGGCTGTTTATCCTGGAGAAGAGGAGACTAAAGGGACACCCTACTACTCTCTACAACTACCCAAAAGAAGGTTGAAGTGAGGTGGGGGTTGGTCTGTTCTTCCTCATGGTGAGTAATTGGACAAGGGGAAATAGCCTTAAGTAGTTTCTCATGTTCCGTTTGGTTATTGTAACCCCAGAGAGGGGTTTACTAATAATAGAATCATAGAATCGTAGAATTGTAGAATCGTAGAATCGTGGAATCATAGAATGTGTTGGGCTGGAAGGGACCTTTAAAGGTCATCTAGCTCAACCGCCCTGCAGTGAGCAGGGACATCTTTAACTAGATCAGGTTGCTCAGAGCCCCACCAAGTCTGACCTTGTATGCCTCCAGAGATGGAGCTTCCACAACCTCTCTGGGCAACTTATTACAGTGTTTCACCACCCTCATAGTAAAAAACTTCTTCTTAATATCTAAACTAAAAAATATCTAAACAGCCCTTCGTCCTGTCACTACACACCCTTGTGACCAGTCACTCCCTGAGTGTCCTATAGGCCTCCTTAAAGCACCAGAAGGCTGCTATATTGTCTCCCTGGAGCCTTCTCTTCTCTAGGCTGAACACCCCCAACTCTCTCAGCCTATCCTCATTAGGAGAGGCATGCTCTCCAAATGTACTATGAGTACATATGCCTGTACTCATAGGAGAGGTACTCCAGCCCTTTGATAATTTTTATGGCCCTCTCTGGACCCACTTCAGCAGGTCCATGACCTTCTTGTGTTGAGGGCTCCAGAGCTGGACAGAGTGGATGGAAGTATAAATATGGGAAAATGCAGAGAAAAGTGATAAAAGGACTGGCTGAGTGTAAGCAGGGTTCAGCTCATTATGCTTCTCTTTCTGAGCCTGCACCTGATTGCTACAGTCTCTTCCTTACTGCTTCTCTGTTATCACTCTGTCTAGTGATGGGCTTTTAAACTGGAGTAACCAGCAACCAAAATGATAGAATTAAGCCATTGTTGCTGTTCATGCTGATGTGAGTGCTATTTCTGTTCATGTGCGGTGAAAGACATTACTCTTCATGTTGATCCATCTAGGCACTGTGTCTGATGTGTGTGTGTGATTGTGTCTGGCTCGATCTGTAAACAGGAATGGAAACAATCTCTTTGGTCTGAAAGTCCTCTGGATTCAGCTTCCCTTAATAATGAATGCTTTAAGAGATATTGTTTTCTGGGACTACAGTTTTGGTTCCTCTTCTTCCTTTGCTGCAGATGAGTTTCATCACTCCCACTTATTTCTACCATATCTATCCACCAAATCAAACAAAACATACAAGGATATTTTTAGTTCTTTGCTTTTAAAATTGTGATAATTTACAGATGCCTAGTCAGTAACTGGACCTTTGCAGTATAGATGATTTAAGAATAGAATAAATAAGAGTGCTTCAGTTCTTTCTGAAAGAAATTAAAAATACAAGGAAAAAAAAAGAATTACTTAGAAATAATAAGTAAGCAAAAAATAGTTATGAGATAATATCTATGGTCAGACTATCAAGAAGCATGATTCACTCAAATACTCCCCAATTTTTTATGTTTATTTCTTTTAGGTCCATTTTGTGAGGAACCAACGGATCCTTGTGCACCTCAGCCATGCCTGCATGGGGGCACATGCCGATATTTTCAGACTGGATATGTTTGTCATTGTCCTGTTGGTTTTCTTGGTCACAACTGTGAAATTGATATTAATGAATGTTCTTCAAGACCATGTCAAAATGGAGGTACATGTATAGATTTGCCAAGCGTAAGTATAAAGTTTATATGTCCATATTTGAACACAGAATTGTAGAATCTTATCACAGAATAACAGAATTGTAGAATCGAATCATCAAATCATCGAATCATAGAATGGTTTGGGTTGGAAGGTACCTTAAAGATCATCTAGTTCCAACAGCCTGCAACGGGCAGGGACACTTCCCACTATACCTGGTTGCTCAAAGCCCCATCCAGACGGGCCTTGAACATTTCCAGGGATGGGGCATCCACAACTCCTTTGGGAAACCTATTCCTGTGGCTCATCATCCTCATTGTAAAAAAAAGTCTTCCTTATATCTAACCTAAATCCACTCTGTCTTAGTTTAAAATAATTTTTCCCTGTGCTATCACTACAAGTCTCTCTCAATCTTTGTTATAAGCCCCCTTTAAGTGTTTAAAGGCTACAATACCATTTGTCTGGAGCTTTCTCTTCTCCATGCTGAAAACCCCCAACTCTCTTAGCCTTTCTCTATGGCCATTTTTCATGGCTCTCCTCTCGACTTGCTCAAGCAGATCCATGTCTTTCTTATGTTGGGGGCCTCAGAACTGAACATAATACTGCAGGCGGGATCTCAAGAGAGTGGAGTAGAGAGGGAGAATCACCTCCTTTGACCTGCTGGCCACACTTGTTTTTATACATCATAGGATATAACTGTTTTTCTGGGCTCAGAGTGCACATTGCTAGCTCATATCCAATTTCTCATCCACCAATATCACTAAATCCTTCTCCACAGGGCCCCTCTTAATGCACTCAGGCATGATTTTGCCTTTGTGAAGCCGTGTTTGTTGTTTCTAAGCATCTCCATGTCATCCATACTCCTTGACATGTATTCCAGAAGGATTTGTTCTATGAATGTGCCAAAACATTTATTGCTAACAGAAATTTTGAAATTCTGAAATTAAAAACTTTACATTCTTCATGAAGAAACACAGCATTTTCAGTTCAGTTCCTTGGTGGTCACTTAAAATCTACCAATGTAATTTCTTTTTTTTTTTCCTCTTTCTCTAACAAAGTCTTCTGATATAAAACGTAATACATGAGTCATCTTTATTAATGAATGTTATTTTCCTGTTCTTGTTTCTCCTGTGGTATCTGCTTTTAAATCTTTTTCTTCCTTCTTTTTTCTTTCTGTAAAACAGAATAAATTCATGCAGCCTCAAAAAAGTTTGATAATTGAGTCATATCTGGTCATATTTCAAAATACATTGTTGATATTGTTTCATTAGCATAACTACTTCAAATAGCTGTGATTATACAGAAACAAAAGAGTGAAAGAAGAGTTCAAAACCTCAGTTATCTCATACCTATGATATACACTCACACAGAAGGGGCAAAAGAGACATCTAAATTGCTGAACAAATTGGTAGACTTCCAAGTAATACAGTCTGCCTAAAGATTATGTCTAGTAGATATACTAGCACATATTATATCATAATTTCTGTAGATAAACAGATGCAGTAATTTGTTTCAAATGTATAGAAGTCTCCCAGTACACATTAAAATAAAGTTCTCCAAACACGACTTTAAGACCGATTCTAAAGAAACACGTAAACACTTCTAATTTCACTGGGGAAACAAACACTTATATATTTTCCCTTTTTTTTCTGACATCTCAAGGCCTATAAATGATATTACATTCTATATAAAAATAAGAGTGAGTGCATCAACTCTAAGAAATATTTTTGTTTGTAAAATCACTTGCTGTTCTTACTGTGCAAATTACAGATTGGCAGATATCTGTCACCGTCATAGAGAAGCGTATCTGTGCAGGGGAAAAAGCATGCACACCATTTTCTTTCCTACTCTAGTTTGTGACTATTCTTTGGTATACATTCACTATTTCATATACATCTGATGTACCTTATGGGCTGTTACTGTGGTAGATGCAAATGTTACTGTGGAACAAATTCAGAAATAAGGAAAAATTATAAATTAATTATAAAGTTCCTTCTTGATTTTATTTGTGAAATTGCAAAGCCAGCCAGATTTAGAGCTGATATATTTCCGGCTAGTAAACACAACTCTGGTATAATCTGTACTGGAAGGCCTATTCCACTTGTCCTAAATTATGTTTGTAATCTGTCTAGGGCTAAGACTGCTTTTTGTTCTTTGTACTCTGTTTAAAGCGATGAAACCCTGAACTAGTTCGGTTAGCTATAGTAAGGGAACTAAACGCTAGTTCCTGTATTGCCTTTCTAATTTCCTTCTCTTCTACAGGATGTGGCATGTACCTGTTTGCCAATATTCACTGGCAAGTTCTGCGAGAGAATATTGAACTCATGTGAGTTATTGCCTTGCTTAAATAATGCTACATGTGTAGCTCAACAGCAGAACTATAACTGCCGGTAAGAAAATAATTTGTCTCAGTATTTCATTGAAATACTTGATCATATCCCACTGATTACACAATGAAAAGACATTGTCCATCACAAAGGACATAGAAAACTATACACTTTATTTTTTAAAAACTATTTTTTATGGTGCTCTACTCTGCTACTCTTGAAAATTCTTGAAGTTCTTCAAAATATTTGAAGAATTTAATGAGTTATAAATTGTGTCATCATTATTTCTGTAAGATGAAATACATAAATCCTGGCTCACTGGTGACAAATGAGACAATTATACCACAGGTATAACTATTATTCTTGGTGTGTGATGTTTATGTTTTTTCTGAAAGGATAAGACAACTGATATAATTTCTAATTCACAGACATGCATTAACAGGTCTTAGATTGCTCCTTCAACCAGCGTATTAAAAAGTATTCAGAAAGACTATGCTAAAAATTATTCATTTGAAAATAACATAAGTGACTCAGTATATAATTTCATTCCATTTCAAATAGCTTTTTAGATATTTTCTTATGCCACTAAGGAGTACAATTTGTCCTCTTCCCATTTGCTTTGCTTTCATCTGTCTGACTGAAGTAAGTTCCACTAAGAATTACTGGAAGTGTATTAAATAACTTTCCAATTTTAGGATATTCATAAAAGCAGAAAATTGAAAGCTGTGATACATAGAGACCTGAAAACACATTATGAATGAACTTAGAAACTGCAAATATGTAACAGAAGTACAGAACATAAAGTTACAGTCCATCAGAAAAGATTGAGTTGGAAAGTCTGGAAACTAAATTATAAGTACAGCCATGGTTATAATTTTCCCAATGAAGAAAAAAGAATTTTGCTTATACTTGCATGTAAATAGACATATACATACATACACACACATACGAGCGCATAAACACAGTTAGATCTTTGTGACAGAGAGACTTGCAAGGTTCAAGCTGGCGATCTGTTTGAATTTCACTCACAGGTCCAATACACGAACTTCACTGCAAGGTTTAAATTATCAGTTTATTAGAACTTCACTTACAGGTCCAGCATACCACTACCGCAGGGTTAATGGATACAATGGAAGAATGCATTACTGCAGTTTCAGAAAGAAAATCCAATACAATACACAAGATACACTGTTACAAAACTTAGTGATTCCTGGAAACTAGAACAGTGTGGATTTAAGAAGTGCACAAATTAGTAACAATAACAATCTCAAAGTAAGCCACACGTGTTATTCACCTATCCTCTCTCAGGTAAAGGTTCTCAATCCCAGGGAAAATGTCCTTATCTGACATCTCTAATAAGGTGGTAGACAGGTACAGTCCAGCTGTATAGCTGGAAAAAAAAAAATCTCCCCCAAATCCTACAGCTTTTATACTGTAAGAATGACATGTGGGGGGCAGAGGTATGCCTGAGGGACCAGACCATCTAGAATGTTTATCTTTGGTGGAATGATGAGATTTCCCCTTATCTCTCCTGGAAGCCCCCTACTAATTTTATGCTAAATAACACACCATTGACTCGGACAAATTAACATATCTTTATTTACTCAGCCTAATTTAGCATATTTTGCACATACATGATTTACTCAGCTGAATTTAACACATTTCAAGAATAGATAGTGGTTGAATATGAGACTCAGAGTAAAATGTTTGTTACCTGGGTTTTAGTTCTACTCACATTTCGGTCCTTTACTGTTTCATTAAGGGATAACTCAGGTCTGGGTCATTTTTCACAGCCCTGCTTAGGTCTGTTAAGGCAAGACAGGGCTGAGCTGAATTAATATCTCCCTATATCTTACCCTTATTCACCAAAATCTGTTCTGTGGGTATACGCACAATCTTCCCACACAGATATGTACAGCACAGAACAAGTGTTAGAATTTATTTTCTAATATTTTAAACCAAAATACAAACTACTACCAATTTGCTATTATATAGCCAGTCTTTCACACAGTATGCTAGTACGAGTTAGTATGATATGTAGCCTGAAGATCACATTTAAAAATATGCGTAACATGAACAATTAATATCAAGTTGCAGATTATCTTTCTTTATAAAAAAAATCTTGACCCTGTGAACAATGCAGGTGAGACAATTTATAATTTCACAGTACGCTGGTAAAAATTATCTGTGCCGTGAATTATATTGTACCATGGTTAATAAAAATAGCCCTAGAAAGTCATGGTGATTTAACAATCTTTCCATTAATACATTATGTGAGAATAACAGTGCAAGTTATTATTTAGATCAATATAACAGAAAGTAAAAATGGGCAATTAATGACCCACTTATATTGATTATCAGGCCAATCACTTAAATTATGTGGTAAAGCTAGTTAACTGAGGTTTTAGTTTTGGGCTCAGATAGTACATCCTGTTAACTGTTAATATCAAGTGTTAAAATCCTATTAATATCAGTGGTGCTCAGATTTTACCTTTAATATTTCTGTATTTTTCATGTACTCAGTTTTACTATCTGTAAAATACACATTTAATAAGACAGGCAAGACACATGGCAAGGCAGTTTGAGAAATTCAATAGGTTATAAACATTATTTTTAACACTAAAAATGTTCTAAAAAGGGAGATAAGAGCCTAGAAGGAACTCTATGAATAATGTATCCTTCAACTTTTTCTAACATTGAGTGTTTGGCCCTATACATACCATTTAAGTAAAAGCTTCGGATAGTGTTCAGTCTACATAGCTTTTGCTAACTTCAGAAAGGGACTTATTTCTTCCAAAGAGAAGTATCCAGCACAGGTGAGATAAAGAATGTTCTGAAGGTTCCAAGTTTTCTCTGTACCAAGAAAACATGGAGTGCTGTCCTAAAACAGATACTAAAAATGCAGACTCTTAATATTAGATAAATATGGCAGTATTGGAACTTAGTTTCAAAAGAATCTTAGAATCACCAAATGGCCCAGGTTGGAAGAGACCTGGAAAGATCATCTATTCCAAACTTTACTGGGAAAGAGACCTTAGATTAGATTAGATTAGATATCTAGCATCCTGTCCAATCACATATCAAAAACCTCCAGTACTCAGCCTTAGTTTGGACATTCAGTCCCTTGAAAGCTTCAATTAGTAATTGTAATATTTTTAGCATTTATTGTTAATAAATAGAAAAAGTTTTCCACGTTTCTTGTGACACTAAATCAATTCTCTATCACTTAATCCCAAATATTTAATAAATGTAAATTTTTTGTATATTTATTCCTGTATACTTGGACAGAGACATTTAGATGAGAGAAAGCATTTTGAGGGAATATGAGTCATGTACTTTTGATGAAGAGACCAGATCCAGTAATTTGGCTGTAAGGGTTGTAGTTTTGCCAAAGACAGAGTGCTGAAATGTAGAGGAGGTGTCAGCTTGTATAGAGGGTGAACAGCCAGCAGATTTTGTTATTTTGTGGATTCAAAATTCTCTTTGTAAATTTATATCTTGTATTAGCTATCTGAATGACAGAAGATTTTGGAAGCCTGACAGTTTCAGTTGTGTTAAATGGAAGCTTTCTGGCTGTGAGTCAAGTTTTAATTCATTTTGCCCAAAAAGAAACCCACCACCAACCATGTTGCTTTGTTCAGGAGGCTTGGTGCTTTTCATTCAAAGTTTTAAGTAGAGGTTTTGTCTCGTTTTTGGTCATAATTGTCAAATACTGTAGGTAATGAGTATGTCTAGTTACCTCAGAAAAAAAACAACGTGTTTCATTCGGTAAAATAGTGTTTCATGTTTATAGTACTTTAACATTTTAAATAAATGTAATGGTGTTTAACTCACATGCATATACAAATCCAAATAATGGCTGAATTGATATTTTTACTTCTTTTTTTCTGTTGTTTTGCTTACCCTATCTTGCGTGCTTCTCCTTATGTCCAAGCTGAAGTCTGCTTATATTCACCATCATCTCAGCTTCTGTCTACTTATTTTTTCTTCTTTGGGAAAACAATTATTTTCTATTCCAAACATACAACTAAACAGACTCAATTTAATTTTCTCCAATTCAGTTCTGATGTATCATTATCTTGTACCCTAATTCCATCCTTTCAGTCTTGATATCATATAGAACTTTGTGCTAAGAATCTAACAGTAGCATTTTTTCTTAAATGTCAAAATTTAAAGTGGATTCAAATACACAGTGAACAAGGATATCCATCACAATAAATTGTGATTGTTTATATCTTCTATTATTGGTGTTTTTTAGAACAATAAAAAGTCACAAAAAATGTGAAACTGTGCTCTGAGGAAATTTGTTCCATTAACATCATCTTTGGAACTTTGCTGTCAACTTTCTTGTTGTTAATTTACTCTCAACTTCTCTGACGTTGGTATGTCTATCGTAAAACAATAAAAATAAAAGTAGGAAAAATGAGCAAATGTAAAAGTTAGAAGAAGGAACTTCTAAAACTGGCTTGTTAAGTCATCTGTTGGGAAAAAAAAAAGATTAGATTACCTAAATAAATTGAACTAAAAAATATAGATCTTTCATCTGATTTCAGATCATAAGTAAAATAGCAAAGCAAATGTTGTAATTTAGTTGCTCTAATTTGGTTTAAAGTGCTATTTAGAATGAAATTATAAAAAAAATATATATAATATATATATCAATGAATGATACTACAATATAAAGGACAACAAAAATGCTATTTGCTGATGTGAGTACATTTGTTTAAAGGGAAAAATATGTATGTAACTATCTGATGTCTTTGAACATGCTGAAGTAAAAGCAGCTAAGTATTATGAAAAAGTCCTTTTAGCTACAAGACATGAACTGGAAATTTATTAAGAAAGGACTTTGCAAGAATTTTGATTCCAAGTACATGAAATGGTAGAATATAGTTATAGGATTTATATACAGCAATATTTTCAAGAGGAGAGTGAGGATTATGTAGTTCATTGTTATTTGCATAGAGTGTCCTCCTGTGGTTGTCTCTATACTAGTCTCAAAGAACGTAACTAGAGGTTTTTCCATAGTCATCTACTTCTGTCCAAATGGTCCTATGCATAGACTATGTGGGTGCTCTTCAGGAGTTACTGGGGAAATTCAGCCTGTTTAACACTTGGCCAAAGATGATTTAAGCTTCTGGACACTCTAGATGCCTCTGTGCATCCCTTGGAGGCATAGCCATACCCACTGATCAGCATCTTTAACTGAGTTAGAAAATACTGTTAACTCATATTTTTTATCCATTGTTGTGGCCTGACTATCTGCTATTGAAAATATATCCTTTTCTTTTGTATGCTGTGTAGCTGTAAGAGGCTTCATGCATTCTAAAACTGGGGATAGTGTTATTTTTTAAAATGGGAAAACATAAACAACACAACTGAAACTCATATCCGCTAGGAGTAAGAGCATAGAAAGCAGAAGAAATTCATTATTATCTTTGTGATTTCCAGCATCTGGACTGTGTCATTAGAGAAAGTACCTCTCAGAAAAAGCTAAAGAGACTTCCCATCTGTTACTTTTGGGTTCCTTCACAATCACAAATTTTCAGCTAACTAGCCTTTTGTTGTCTCTTCTACTTAAATCTTTTCTTTCCATGCTACCAGAAAAAGCCTTTAGCAGAGGAAAATGTTAAGCATGTCTGCAAGAACATATTAAAGTGAATTTGGCAGGAAACATGTATCTATAAAAACAAAAGAGAAAGTTTTTGCAGTCTGGATTTTACTTTTTGCACATTTTAGGAAAGCTCCAAATATTAAAATATTTTTCTACACTGTCCATTATTCCGTTTGAATAAGGCTTGTTTAGTATCCATTTGAATCTCATCTTTTTTATTTGTATATTTTTTAAAAACACTGGAGGGCTAGACAAGAAAAGTATTTTCTCTTGCTAATGACAGGTGCTGACACAAAGCAGAAGAAATGTCTACGGTTCCTTTTGCCATAAAAGTTATCTGTGGCTCCATCGGCCTCACATGGAACTACCAAATTCACAAAAACAGAATGCTAGTTTTCTCCTTTAAAGAAAATATCAAATTACAAATAAGTAATTAAAAGACAATCCTGTATTGTTCTCTCCCAGATTCCTTACATTTCTCTTTACATACCTAAGCATGTCATTATTGACTACTTTTTTAACAACTAGAAATTATTGTTGCTAAATACTTTAAAGCCCATTTATCATCACATTTCCACTTATTTCTCTCTGATGATTTCCTTTCTAACAGATTTCCAAAACCTCATTTATAGCTTTTTGTTTAATATTATCTCATTATAGATTGTTTTTGTTTCCAGAACTTTATAGAAAGTATTGATATCAAAATGCTCTAATCAATGAAAAAAATATTTTATGAAGCAGCCAAAATATCCAGAATCATGCAACTGATTTCAATTGCTTGAAAGCATGTTCTGTTTATTTTAAATAACATATGAGATCTGTTTTGTTACTGCAAGAACATTATTTAATAGAATTATGGAACATAATTAAATACAATTAACTTTTAAAACGTAAGTCTTCTAAAATACACTGGTGTATTTGCAGCTGCATGCCAGGATTCACTGGAAAGAACTGTGAGGAAGTAATTGACTACTGCAGGCTGCTCAGCATCAACTGTCTGAATGAAGGATTGTGTCTTAACATAATTGGAGGATTCACTGTAAGTAATTTAATACATGTTAAACTAATTCAGTGCTTCAAAGTATAAAAGCTTCAGACAAACAGAATTTGAAATGCATTCATTACTCTAAGAGACAAGAGGGATATACATTTATGTGTTTTATTTATTTAAATCAATAGCACAAGGACAATTCACTTGTGTGATATGGATTTTTTTATTACTTTTCTACTGGGAGCATGTTTGGTACTGTATCAAGAAAGAGAACTGAAGAATATTTTTATAGCAAAAAGAATATATAACTAATTATTGTCCAGTGCTATTATACACACAGATAACCACAGCCATGTTGAAGCCATTAAAAATACCTTGCTTGAACAGAGAACATCTGTTGCCATTGTTTTAACCAGAATCACATCAGTAATCTAAATATAAACACATTTAAACTTAATACAAACTTAGAAGTTTGATGATGAAACCGCAATGTGTGGAGGTTGATTCCAATTGACCGTTTAAAATTAAAAAGAAAAGCAATTCGGTTTGTTTTAACTCTCTGAATAGCTCCTCAAGATGTTAGGCAAAATCCATCCTGTACCAAGATTCTTCTAGTCATAGCTTGTCAAAAAGGAGGAGATAATTGTTTCTCTAACAGCAAAACAACTTAAAGGTCACCCTCAACAGCCACTCATTCTGCAAATAATGGGAGGTGATTAGAAAATCACAGAATGGCTGAGGTTGGAAAGAACCTCTGGAGGTCACCTTGTCCAGCACCCTGCACAAGCAGGCCCACTTAGAGCCATTTATCTAGTCCTAGTCCACTTACCTGTATGAGTAATCAGATAAAATGTATTAGGGTTGCTGTTACTCCTTCCTGCAGGAGAGCTGGATCTGAGGGTGACTGCAAGGCCTGAAGGGACAATATCCTCACCAACAAAAGATGCAGTCCCTCAATACCCACAAGAACCCAGCAGATCCACAGATTCAGCCAAAATTCCAGTGAACACCAGACAAACCCATAGTCATAAAGCAGGTTTGTGGCTAAGCTGGGTAGTTTAGGTCAAGAGATCATAAACAACAAATTACAAGTCTGGATACAGGCAAATGGACAAAGTATCTCTGGAAAGGATTTAGTGCAAAGACCTGAGCTTATATGCAGCTCATGAATAAACAAACTAAAGTGTGGACATCTCAGAAGCAAGTTCTGTTTTCACAGTAGGGTGAAGTGACCGACAGTGCTGGGCCACGTCAGAGATGTCTTTAAGCATGGCAGTTAATCTTGAGAGAGAGGGGAAAGAGATCTCCAAGGAAGAGTGCAGAGAAAGACCGTAGGCTAGTCGGGCCAATTAGAGCCCATTGATGCATTCAAGGTCCTGACAGTTTCCCTGAATATTTCTTGCATTCAATTGTTCATTTAGTTCAAATACCATTGCCTTTCTTGTAACCACAAAACTTAAAGGGATGTTGATATTTTCTCCCCAACACTTTCCACCTGACACCTTGTGTATGCTCTTGTTCCTTGAGTCTTACCTGATCTTAAAAGCATCATATACACGTGACCAAGGATTGTTTCTCCTATTTACTTATGGAAACAAAGACAAAGGAAGCTTCCAGTCATTTGTTCAAATTGGCCAGCCCAAAATTTTGCATTTTGTTCTGAGCATACATCCTATGTCAGATACTGTTGTGGACTAAAGTGTCACTAAGAATTAAATTCATACCACTGTTGACTGAATTACAGTCTCCCAATTGCTGTTTCTTGTCCTTTCCCTTAGTCCCTGACCTTAATTGTCAGAAGCAGCTGTTTAGGTTGACCTGTTACTCATTCAAATGCTTGCACTTCCACAGATATGCAATCATATCAATAACACATCTGTAAAAAGAATTTTATGTAAGAGCATGATACAATTAGTGAATTAAATACATGTAAATGATAATTTCAGAAATTAATGAATACTGTATTACTGAAAGAAGTAAGAACATGGACGTGCTGGAGCTACTCAAGTCTTTGTCCAACCTGGCCTTGAACACCTTCAGGGAGAGGGCATCCACAACGTCTCTGGAAAATTTACTTCAAAGTCTTGCCACCCTCGTACCGAAGATTTTTTTTCCTAAGATCTAATCTAAATCTATTCTCCTTCAACTTAAACCTATTTACCTTTGTTCTATCACTGGACACTCTTGTAAAAAGTCCCTCTCAGCCTTCCTGTAGGTTCCCTTCAGGTATTGGAAGGCAGCTATTAGGTCCCCCCAAAGTCTTCTCTTTTCCAGACTGAACAACCTCAGCTCCTGCACCTGTCCTCATAGAAGAGGTGCTCCAGCCCCTGGATCATCCTTGTGGCCCTCCTCTGAACATGCTCCAACAGATCTATGTCCCTCTTATGGTGGGGATACCAGAACTGGATGCAGGATTCGAGGTGGGGTCTCACGAGAGCAGAGCAAATCACCTCTCTTGAATCACCTCTCTTGACCTGCTGGCTACATTTCTCTTGATACATTCCAGGATGAGGTTGGCCTTCTGGGCTGCATGAGCGCACTCCTGGCTCATGTTGAGCTTCTCATCTATCAACACTCCTAAATCCTTCTTTTCAGGGCTACTCTCAACCCACTCTGTGCCCAGTTTGTATTTTTGCCTGGGATTGGTCCGACCCAGGTGAAGTACTTTGCATTTTGACTTGTTGAAGCTCATGCAGTTTGCACCAGCCCATTTCTCAAGCCTATCAAGGTCCCTCTGGATGGCATCTCTTCCCTCAAGTGAGTCCATGGCACCACATAGCTTGGTGTCATTGGCAAACTTACTGAGGGTGCACTCAGTGCCATCATCCATGTTGCTGACAAAGATGTTGAACAGCACTGGACCCAGAACAGACCCCTGAGGAACTCCACTTGTCACTGGTCTCCATGTGGACATCGAGCCATTGACCACAACTCTTTGAGTGTGACCATCCAGCCAGTTCTTTATCCACTCAGTGGTCCATCTGTCAAATCCGTGTCTCTCCATTTTAGAGACAAGGATGTTGTGTGGGACAGTGTCAAACACCTTGCACAACTCCAGGAAAATGACGTCCCTTGCTTTTCCCATGTCAGCCAGCACTGTAGCTTTGTCGTAGAAGGCCACTAGTCAGGCACGACTTGCCCCTAGTGAAGCCATGTTGGCTGTCACCCATCACTTGGTTATTTTTTATGTGCCTTAGTACAGCTGCCAGGAGAATCTGTTCATGATTTTACCTGGCACAGTGGTAAGGCTGACTGGTCGGTAGTTCCCTGGTTGTCTTTGGTTCCTTTTCTAAAGATGGGGGTTATGTTCGCCCTTTTCCAATCTGTGGGAACCTCACCAGACTGCCAGAACCTCTCAAATATGATGGTTAGTGGCCATCTGACAATTTCAGAATCCCAAATGAGAGAAATTTGCCTGTGGAATTTTTTTTTTATTATTTTTCATTTTACTAAAGCTGATTTGGAAGTACATTCAATTCATTTGTATAAGTGACACTAAGCAGTCCTTCTAAAATAATCCTACTGCAAAAGAATTCTTAAAAGTCAAAAAACTAAGATGTTAAATCTTGATATCTAACTTAAAAAAAATTATTTTTGTTTGGAAATTAATCTCTAGTTTTGTTCAAAATGTACTAGATATTTAAAATTGAAACAGTAAAGGGTTTTTTCATTATTCCTATAAATTATTGTCACAAGTCCTTGATCACTAATTAGTATCACTTCTAAGTAATTATAATATTAATCATTACTCTGCTTACATTTTTTTGTTTTAAGTTATTTACTATATGTTTCTAAAATTATTTTTGTTTCTGTTAAGAAATCCCTCTAGAGAATGTACATTAACTTTACACTAAATAATAATGTTTAGCTACAGGAAGCATTTAGTGGTGGTGTTGTTTTGTCAGATAAACATGGGAATTGTTAATTCTTAAGAAGTGGAACTTCTTGCATTTAATATTCTCTTATTTCATATTTTTATATCTCAATTCTCATATCTCAGAGTACAGCTCTAATAGTAACAAATAATTTCCTTTTTTCTTTCTATTGTTGCCCATCATCCTAGAAATCAAAGTCATGATGTATATATTGAGAAGGGATTTATCAAAAGGAAAGTAGCTAACATAGCTCAACAAAAACAGATCACATCAGACAAAGCAGATTTAATGAGAACACCTGAGAGATAGATGGAGAAATATTTTCTGCTGCAACTCCCTTATTAAGCAAAATAAATAATTTAATAGAGCAACTTGAATTCTAAGGAGAAAAAACCTAGATCTTGATTACTTTAATGGGTATAGTCAATCAAATGTATTGAAACAGGAAGGTTGTTTTGTTTCAAAATAATTGCATGTTCTGCGTTTTGTAACACACACCCCATATATACCTCACTCCATCCAGATGAAGCAGAAGATATCATTTATGAAGCTAGATGTACATGTTATGGCCTGTAAAAGACTATAAAAGACCTAGAACTCTGTCTAACATAAATGTTGAGGGTTTTTTTTCAAAATTAGAAAATGTACAAACTGATTAAGATTTTATTACTACTACAGTATAGGCTTGAAGGTCTATGAGGTAGTCGTTATTCTAATTTTAGGATTTTAAATAGGGAGTTTTTTGTAAACAATATTAAATTAACTAAAAACTGAGTGAATTAACAAAATTAAAAAATAGTAAGAAGAAAATTGTTGTCCCTGTGACTATTTTAAATGGACTTTATGGCAATTTGCTTTTGAAATAGTGGGATTTAGTACTTTGATTTAGTAGGAAACGCAAAACTCCTCCTGTGCAGATGACCACAGAAAATGGTAGTATAGATAATAACAAGCAAATCTGATCAGGATTCCTTGCTAGGCTATACTACTTAAAAAAAAAAAAAAAAAAAAAAGTGCATTCTGAGACAGGCAAATGTAATGCTGTAAACATAGGAAAAAGAATGTGAGTTACACAGCAGTGATTGCTTCCTGATAGTGAAAAAGAAGACAAGTTTTAGTTCAGGGTGGGTATTTGATTTGACATCACACTATTGATGAGGACAGACAGACAAT